GGTGGCGCCGCCAGCTTCCCGAGCCTCCGCGAGGCCGCCGCGGCGGCGGGCGGGGGCAAGCAGAAGAAGAAGAACAAGGGCACCACCCTGTCGCTGTCCGAGTTCAGCGGGTACGGCGCGCAGGGGCAGCGTCGGGGCGGCGGTGGCGCCGCCCCCGTGGATCCGAGGGGGCTCACCCCCGAGGAGATGATGATGCTGCCCACCGGCCCCAGGGAGCGCTCCGCCGAGGAGCTCGACCGCTCCCGAGGGTTCCGCTCCTACGGCGGAGGGTTTGGCGCCGGCGGCGGGGACCGCCGCGGCGGGTTCGACGACGACCGCCGCGGGCCCGGTAGGTCCTCGGATCTCGACATGCCCTCCCGCGCCGACGAGGCGGACAACTGGGGGACGAATAAGAGGTTCACGCCGGCTCTCGGCGACTCTGGCCGCCGTGATAGGTTCGGCGGCCCCTCCCCAGCCGGCCGCTCCGATGACATCGATGACTGGTCGCGCGACAAGAAGCCGATGCCATCGCGCTACCCAAGCCTCGGTTCTGGTGGTGGTGGTGGTGGCGGCTTCCGTGAATCACCTGGTTTCCGCGACTCACCAGGCCCCTCCGACTCTGACCGTTGGTCTCGTGGTGGTAGCTTTGCGCCGATGCCGCACAACGGCGAGCGTGAGAGGCCGCGGCTCAACCTTGATCCACCGAAGCGGGATCCCTTGGCTACTGCTACGCCACCAGCTGAGGTGGCACGCAACCGGCCAAGCCCATTTGGGGCTGCAAGGCCCCGGGAGGAGGTGCTGGCTGAGAAAGGGTTGGATTGGAGGAAGATGGAGACCGAGATTGAACAGAAAACTAGCCGCCCTACCAGCTCACAGTCCAGCCGGCCGAATAGCGCACATTCCTCCCGCCCTGGGAGCCCTGGATCACAGGTCTCAGCAGTTGGGAGTGAAGGGGCACCGAGGTCACGGCCAAAGGTAAATCCGTTTGGTAATGCCAAGCCACGGGAAGTGGTGCTGCAAGAGAAAGGGAAAGACTGGAGGAAGATAGACCTTGAGCTGGAACATCGTGCCGTTAATAGGTATGTATATGAAGTCACCTCTTGATTGCACTTGGCATTTCTCATGAATCTCATGATACTGCAAACATGCAATGCAAGTGTACTGATATAGCTTAGCGAAGGTGTATTTCTTGTGGTAATGGAAACATGCAATACTGGAGGACTGATATAGGTTAGTAAAAGGAGTGCTTCTTGTGATAATGTAAAACATGCGTATTGCAATACTGGAGTATTGGTATAGGTTAGTAAAGGTGCAGGCGTGCAGCCTTGCATAAAGAATTGTGCAAGTTCTGCTTAGTTCTTTTCTAATATATAAAAAACCTAGCAATTTACGTAGCATGTCCTAACAATAATTGCCCTGCTGTTTTTGTTATGTAATATTTTGGAAGAATTGCTTTTGTGATAACTTCATAATTGAAATCCAAAAAATGAGCAACTAGAAGTGAAGGTTTACCTTTATAGTATACTTCAGTGAATTAAGCATTTAATGTTAATGTCGAACCATTTATTGTTATGAAGTTATCTGCATTAATCCTTTGAACGGTGCAGTGGAGTCAACAATCAACATTTACAGCAATTGTTCAGTTAAATTCAATCTTCTCTTGTGGGTGCTGAATGTAGTGATGCATATGCAGTTATATGTTGTCACTTCCATTCAAACTTGATTGTTCACCGTTACGCTTAGTTTTGTGGGAAGTGAAATTAACTGGGGTCGCTAGCAAAATGTAGCATGCTATTGTGTTGATAAAGACATAATTTGCTTTTATAAGTCATCACTCATGGATGGCAAGGACATGGATACTTGGATTGGTTCCTTCTGAAATTCTGTTCTTTTAGCCAGTGCAGGTTTGTTTTCTATTAATTCAATATATCTGTACCTCATTTTTCAGGCCAGAGACGAATGAAGAAAGGATCTTGAAAGAAGAAATAAACCTCCTCAAGGAGAAACTGAAAGAAAGTGAGGCCAATAAAACTGATGGTCCGGACCAAGCTTCCCCTGAGGATCCAGAGGATTTGTCGGAGAAGATAACTCAGATGGAAAAGCAGCTTGAGTTGCTTACTATTGAGTTGGATGACAAGGTTCGATTTGGGCAAAGACCTGGTTCTGGAGCTGGCAGGGTTTCAGCAGTTCCACCAGCTATTGCAGAGGAACCACAGATTGTGGTATCCATCGTGGATAGGCCACGCTCTCGTGGTGGTATGGAGCCATTTCCGAAACCAGCTGAGGAAAGATGGGGATTCCAAGGTAGCAGAGAGAGGGGCTCTTTTGGTGGAAGCAGAAGTTCAGACAGGTTCGTGCAATTCTTGCTCAATTTCTTTCCAGGTTAATGTTTCCTATTGACAGTTGCATGTAATTTGCTGGTTAGCTGAAATGCCTCCTTAATCCTTCTATATAGTTTAATTCTTTTTGTAAATGTATGATGCATCACACTTTCATATTGACGTTAATTTTTCATGCCTGCCTTGTTGTGTTTGTCATGTTTAGTTGAATACGGAACCTTTTATATAGTTATTCTTCTTGTATGGTGATATACCATGTTTTGATTATAAGCCAAGTAGCACTTCAACTTTGGACAGGTTTGAGATTGAACGTATAGTATACTGTTCGATTGAAGATGAGAGTTGGAATGGGATATTTGTCTAGGTAGGACACTAGAGATTCATAGAGAGGATACAAAGCTCAGAATTGGGGTTTCTTTTTTATTTGAAGATAATTGTCTGCAACTTTGTATAACCTTTTCTTTGTATTTTTTTTCCTCTGCTTTGTATTTATCTGTAATTATTCTCTATTTATATTATTTAATAAAGTACATGAGGAGCCTCTCCTGCTGTTTCTTGTAAAAAAAAAAAGAAAAGGAACCATGATCACCAACAGCTTAAACTTTGTGAACCAGTGGTGAAGTGTTCTTGTATGATGGTTGCTTTTTTAATGGGTAGAAATAGGAGCGTAGAACCTTTATATCTATCTTGTTCATCTTATTTGCTTTAGTTCTTGATGTGATACAATCTGGTCTATTTAAAAATATGATGGAAGTCAAATCAGTTTCTAACCAATTGATGTTGATATTATCGGTTCATGTGCAGCTCTTAATCGGTTTTGTTTTGTTTCTGTTCAGGCCAATGACAAGGCAGAGGTGGTGAGATACGGCGTTTGAGCATTTGTTAAGGAAACTCTGGGTCCTCGTTTTTTGTTTCGAAAGAATGGGGAAGAATAAGTCATTTTCTTCTGTGTTTTGACTCCCATTTTGTCTGATCTAGAAAGATTGGAGAGAAGCTTGTCAATGGAGGTTACTCTGCGTGAAGCTATTTATTATCGCCTCTTAAGTTGTAGGGTATTTTGGTTCCCTTTTTGTCATCTCCCATGCCAAAACAAGACCTGGCAAACTTTGATACTAACTATTGTTCCTGATCGGTTCATGTCGCATGTGGTCTCTTAAGCATTCATGGATGGAGACCTTTTGTATGGATATTTTGATATTTTGTACAGTTGCATGTGTTAGCCATCTGTTCTGTTATTTGTTGCTCCTACTATTTTGCCAATGCTTCTTAACTTCTCTTTACTGTGCCCGTTGTACTGGTGCCTTGCAATGACATGCCTGAAGTTCTCTCTCACACCAGTTCCATTGCAATAGAATGTAGGATAATCCCTGCGCGCTTGTTACTTATACTCTTTTTTTTTTTACGGAGGGACGGTAGGTGTTTAGTACCTGGAAATATGCAAGTGATTCTCTTCGCTGTTAGTTGCGTCTTGCCAGCTTGTGGATTACTGCTGTCTTTGGTCTTGGTGATTTCTGCCGTACTGCCGTTGCGCGCTCTGTTACTGGCTTAGTTGGTCATATGGTTTCTGTTTTTTATGTCAATCGCTACTTCCAAATCAGCTGCAGCCTCACCTGTGCTATTGGAGAAGCAATTCGCCGGAGCGGGGGGAGTGAGGGACCCAGCGCTGTGGTGAATCAGGATCATTTACATTAGAGGTTCTAATGTTCTCCCTTCGGCTAAAAAAAACTCAATCTTCAGGTTTAAATCTAGACACACACCGATTGAGTGTTTTTTTACGAAGGGAGTAGAGAATAAATAGCAGAGTGTATTAGGTGAGTTGTATCCACCCAATCAAGTATGTAAGGCTCAGATGTTGCGCTACAATATTTTAGAAACATTTTTATTGTGTGTTTTGCTTGTATCACGTGACCTGAACACCGAACTGGAATGGTGATTACTAGGAGACAACCGGCCTTGTTGTGGCTACCACTTCGATCTCCAGTTCCATTTTCAGCGGCTAGCGTTACACCAAACTCGTGCAGAAAGCGTCTAGCCGCCAGGGCACCTAAATCGCGGCTCAACTCGAGGAGGCGCGACTACGGCGACTTGTTCGCATAAAACGGCCTCGGAGACTAACGATAGGGCAGTTTCTGGTAAGTTATGAGAAGGATGCAGTGAATGGGCTGATTTGAGGCTCGCCGGAAAGGCAACCTCCGAGAAGGGGAAGAAGGTTGGTGATCGTTATAGTAACATTTTGAATGTACCTTTATCTCAATTCAGCCGTGTATCCGTCATCCAATGGCTACTAAAAGCGATGGAATGCCATTTTGCAATTTATCATATAATTTTGAGTTGCTGTCATTCATAGAGAACTTAGTATTAGCCAGTTTACGTACGGCGTTGACCGAAAGTAATCGGTTTTTACCGGTTTTCCACGGTTTTTGGTAACCGATGAGGAGGGTTTTTATTTCAAAAACCAAAAACGTCAGCACATCGCTGGGTGTCCTGTGTTTCTTTCATGCAAGGGTCTTCTCACTCTTCTGCGCCTCTTTGTGGTTTGGAGTACACTTGTACTTATGCTGTTGAATTTTGTGCCATAATAAAAGAGAGAAACTGAGTTGAATTTTGTGCCATCATAAAGAGAGAAACCGAGTCAGGAAGTGGAGGATCATATGAGCAGGTTATTTGCATTGCACTTGCGCCTGAGTTTTTCAAAGATCCATCTATTATTCCGTTGGTTTTGTAGGTTGAACATACGGAGGTGTGTGTGCTGGGCGCTGTAGACACACTCCGTGCTGTCGTACACAGTCACACATTACAATTGTACAGACTACTAACACAAGCAAACCACAATCACTTGTTCTTCTTCTTGTTCTCGAGGACGAGGAAGACGGCGAGCGCGGCGACGGAGAACGCGGAGAGCACGCCGGCGGCGACCTCGATGGACGCGGTGACGCCGGTGATGCCCGCGACGGCGAAGCTGGCCGAGGGCGCCGTCTCGCCATAGGCCACCCGCGCCCCCGACGCGTCGAGCGCGTAGGCGCGCACGTAGTACGACGCCGTCGGGACGTCGCGTGCCACCGTGTACTCGAACTTGCCGGCGCCGTCGTACGGCTGCTGGGCGATCTTGAACTGACACGCCTTGTCCTTGCTCAGGTCGTCGTGGGCCTTGCGCCACCCGCGGCCCACCTGGCTCGCCGGCGCGTAGCACAGGGTCACCTTCACCGCCTTGTAGCCGGCATCCGCCCCGGCCGCCGCCGCCGCCGCCGTCGCGTTCAGCGACCATGTCACGGTGATGGCGTCCTCGCCGGCGTGCAGGACTGGTCATCAATTTGACAGCGTGACAACGTTACATTGACATGCAACATGTTGCCAACTTGGAGTCACTATTCCACTTGAGATTGTAAGAACTAGACGAATTAGAAATTTGTGAGCCAAAACGCTTTTGCAAAGTCAATAATATCAGGCTCTAGAGCCAACCAAGTGAAGAAAACCACGGATTTATTCAAGTATTTGTCCTGAACTATATTTCGCGTGCAGATTATGCTAGGATCGTCCCCATTGAAAGATCAAATCAAGGTGCAAAGTCACAATCCTCTTGATCAGTTTTCACCAAATCAAAGTACACCAAACACAAAACAGCACAGCAAGGGAGAATAATATATATGCATATGGATGCACGCACCTTGGCCGGCACGGGGCGACGCCTCGACGACGAGCGCCTTCGCGAGCGCGGAGAGGCGCGCCCCCGCCGCCGCCGCCGCCGGCGTGACATGGCAAGCACCGAGAACTACAAGGAGCAGCAACAGCGGTAGAAACACGCGGTGAATTACCGCCCCAAACCGAGCCATGATCGTTCTCTGCTAGAGGTGGAGGCCATTTGAGCGGAGCGGTAGCTTATATATAGGCGTGGTAGCGTCGAGTAAGTTGACTCGTGGAGAGGGAGGGAGATCGGGGGAGTTCAACTTTGTGGGGTCGAGGAGGGTAGCGATGGGTGGTTCCGAAAGTCGGAGCTTGATGGTTCACGCGGGTCTGACTGTCGGAGCACGTACGTTTGGCTGTCTCGTCGGCTCGATGGGGCACCTCGGTCGACCTTTTGAGGGCCATGGCGATGTGAAGCGGCGAATGCAGGCTAATGCAGCTGTGTGGTATCTGTAGTACACTGCACAGTAGTAGTAGTAGACTAGTAGCAGTACCACGTTAACGGTAGTAGTCAGACAGTCTGTTGGTGGTGGTCAGAACACGGTACACTGTTTGCCGGAGAAAAATCACGAGCCCTCCAATCCAAGAAATACCATTAACGAACACAGCTTCCTAAAAATATTATTGTACAAGCGCTTTTATTCTAAAAATATCATCGTCGTTAGATTTTCGTTTGTAGCCATTCGTTGAGTGCTATAAAAAACCATTTTACCCCTACAAATTATTAAATGATTAAAACTTTTACTCTTTCAGTCAATTTTCAATATTTTAGTGTAAAGAGCAAACTAATTGAGTGTAAACTAACGAAAAGAGCAAAATTTTTAATCAACCTTTAATAATTTATAGGGTAAAATGATCTTTTTATAGCACTTAACAGATGGATGCAACCGAAAACTTAACAACGATGGTAACTCTAGAACAAAAGCACTTGTACGATGACATTTCTAAAGAGATTAGATTTATCGATGATATTTTTTGAATTGGGGAGAGTCTACACATCTGTCGACAGATTTTTCATCATAAATTTGTCAAAATTTGTACCTTTGGATTAAACCCATAAACGATAGATGGATGACACGTGTACAGCACTGCTGAGGTCCCGCATCTACTAATCGATAGTATGGATGGGCTTCCGACGTTAATTCACACTCTCGTTTCTTAATCAAAATTAGTTGGTTATTTATCCATATTAATTATTAATCCTTGAGAGCTCATCTGCTCATGTATAGTGTGATATCTACTAGATATTTTTTAGTGCATACAAAGATATTACCAATCCATCTACTAAAGTTACATTGTTGTTACACTATAATTACACCATAGTTACAAATGTAATTATGGTATAGTTACACTGTAATTTTAATTACATTGTTGTTACACTATAATTACACCATAGTTACATATGTAATTATGGTATAATTGCACTGTAATTTTAATTACATTGTTGTTACATTATAATTACACCATAGTTACATATGTAATTATAGTATAATTGCACTGTAATTTTAATTATATTATTGTTACACTATAATTGCACCATATTTACATACATGTAACTATAGTATAATTACATTGTAATTTTAGTTTTCTAACACTGTAACTTCAATATAAACTTTATTTTGTCTTGAACCAACTTGGCTTAATTGCTCTGTGGTGTACGTTTAACAGGGAAAACTAGTGCTCTTGGAATCGATCCCCCGCTACGCACAGACTTGTCTCTTTTATCCATCGTATTAGTTAGCACAAATCTCCACGCAAATCATATGGCCCAAAAATCGACAAATCTTTAAACGAAAATCTGTCGACAGATGGATAGCGAATTCGTTTGAATTGGGATATTTATCGATGACATTTTATGAATTTTCTCTTTTTACTATGGCAGTTCGCCTGTTGGCAATGCAATTTTGCCCAAGTAGCCCATAAAACCTCCGGACCAACACAAGCACAAGCAACAACAGAAGAAAAAGCCCAAAAACAGGTAAGGCCCAAACCGCGAGACAGGAAGCCGCACCAAAAACCCACACGGCCCCCCACGAGAGATCCATCATCCACCGTAATCCTCCTCGACGTCCTCACACGCCTCACCTCACCTCACCTCACCGCCGTCTCCTTCCTCGTCTCGTCTCGTGGCGTCGCCCAAAAATCCCGAGTCCAAAGCCACGCACGCAGCTCAAAACCCCACCGCCACCACACCCTCTGATCCGACGGCCCAGATCGCTCCCCCCCTAATTCCCGCCTTGCCCCCTCCTCCCCATGTCGCCGCCGGTGGCCGGCGCCGCCTCCTCCGGCGACGGGCCGCCGGGGCGCCCGCCGCGCGAGCTCTACACCATCCCTGCCTCCTCGGGTAAGCCTCCGCCCCCCCACCCCGAATCGAGGTTTCCTCCTCCTCCTCTTGCTCCCCCTCGCTCTCCTAGGGTTAGGAGAGGGGAGGATTGGGAGGAGGAGGAGGAGGAGGTTGCGGCACGAGAAATAATTCCGTGTGTGCGTGTGTGTGTGCGCGCTCTCGCAGGTTGGTTCCAGTGGGATGAGATCCACGAGACGGAGCGGCGGGCGCTGCCGGAGTTCTTCGGCGGCGCCGGGGGGAGCGGGTTCGGGACGGCGTCGCGGAACCCGCGGATCTACAGGGAGTACCGCGACTACATCATCAGCAGGTACCGCGAGGACACCTCCCGCCGCCTCACCTTCACCGAGGTCCGCAAGGCGCTCGTCGGCGACGTCACGCTCCTCCGGAAGCTCTTCGCCTTCCTCGACTCCTCGGGCCTCATCAACTTCTCCGCCTCCCCCTCCCGCCCCGAGGCGCAGCAGCAGCAGCGGCAGACGGAGGCGGAGGCCGTCGTGGAGGCGCCCGTGGGGCTGCAGGTGACGCCACGGCCGCCGCCGTCGTACTTCGCGGAGGAGAAGGGAGGAGGGGGCAACGAGAACGGATTCCGTTTGCCGCCGCTGACCTCGTATAGTGATGTATTTGGAGAGTGGGCGCCTGGGATGGCGCCTATATGTGGGCTCTGTGGCATGGAGTGCAGAGACGGGAATGCCCAAATATTGAAGGTACTATCGAGTTATAAAGTTCCTTTTTGCATTAGCTGGGATAAATGTGGGATATCAAGGAGGAATGCGGTATCAATTATTAAGAAAATGGAGGTGATGAGTGGCTACGTCATCGAACGCAGGCTGGCGCAAAGCTCTTGGCAGCTATCTGGCAACTGAGCTGTGCGCCATTCTCTCTCCGTTTGCATTAGGTTGTCTTCTTTAGCAAATTTTGGGTTAGTAATCATGTCTTGCTAGATTTAGGATGCTAATGGTTACAGCGCTACTGTGTGGCAATCAAATGATTGGTTTGAACTTTGTATCATGCATGCAAAAAATGTCCAAAGGTTTAAATTCTAGGCTTTAGGAATGCAAGTATTTAACATTTTACAACCTACAGTTTTGAATAAATTACTTGTCGTCTTGTGGAGAAATAGATTCGTGAATATGTTATGAAATAACAGTTCTTACAAAATATTAAAGGATATTTGGCTCTGAAATAGGTAAAGCGTTTAGATTATAGATTGGATCGCCATGTATGTGTCTAGCATGATGTCCTTCTGCACTAATGGTTTTCATGGAATACATACTCCGAGATGCCATTATTATTATTTTTTATTATAGTATTTCTTGCAGCATCATTACTCTATTTATGGCATTCTGTGAGATGTATCTATTATTGTTTTATTATAGGATTTCTTGCAGCATCGCTACTTTATTTATGGCATCCTGTTTATGTTGTCGTACTCCTTGACATGATTTTTGTTGCTTATGCTTCATAGCACACCAAGCTTCGACGGGAATAATCTGAGAAAAGTACATGTTATATGTTTGTTAACATTTGGTATGCTTGCTTTTCAGGATGGTTTTAAAGTATGCTCAAAATGTTATGCCAATAATGATAATAAGGGTGAAGCAAATATACATCCAGGTGACAAAAAGGAGCGGATCGACAATCATTCTTCTAGTGCATGGACAGATGCAGAAACTCTCCTTCTCTTGGAAGGTGTACTAAAACATGGAGATGACTGGGATCTCATCGCCCAGCATGTCCGCACAAAGAATAAATCAGAATGCATTGCAAGGCTAATTCAGTTGCCTTTTGGTGAACATATGCTGGGCACAGTAAATGGTAAATTGGATAACAGACTCCATAAAATCCAAACAACCGATGGAAAAGTGAACAAGTCCACTGTGAAGGAGTCTTCAAGTCAACCAACTGAAACAGTTGATGACATGCAGATTGATGGAAATGAAGATGGCGCTGATAAATCTGTTGAAGAACATCCTACAAAACATAGACGGTTGTTTTCTTCAATAGATATCACTGTCTCATTAATGGAGCAGGTAATAAATAAATAACAAACAGATAACAAAAAACTCGTGTGTGAGGACACATAGATTTTAAATGGAACGAACTGATGATTGCTATTGGTACCTCAGTTAGCGCATCTTACCACATCGACAAGCCCAGATGTTGTTGCTGCAGCTGCTGATGCCGCAATTAAAGCACTGGGTAATGAAAACCCCCAAGCAAGGAGAGCTTTTCAACTCAGTGAGAAAGAGTACCAAACCAGGGCATTCTCTTCTAACCATGCCCGGCAGAGGTAAAGATATGGTATATATTGTTCTTATTTGCCAGTATCAGTGCAGTTTGTTTGTATTAACTGTTAGGGATTATTGCAGTGATGATGTTGGTGGTGGTGATCGGGATGTAGAAATGCACGGGCACCCAGGTAGGCCAAATATTTGGATCATTGGATGGCTAACTATTACAGAATTCTTTCTATATCTGTTGGTGCAGTTGATCCAACCGGATCTGTTATTATGTTGTCTAGACTTGATCTGAATCACCACGACCAACTATTAAGAATTACAAGCAGCGTGAAAAAAGAAAACAAAAAGGACCAACAAAGACTAAATGACAAAGCGGAACATAAAAGAGAACGACCAGCACCAAAACTGCAGGACAAGCCCACGGGCAGCAATGAATGTTATTATCTACTCCCTCCGTTTCATATTATAAGACTTTCTAGCATTGTCCACATTCATATATATGTTAATGAGTCTAGATATATATATATATATATATATATATGAATGTGGGCAATGCTAGAAAGTCTTATAATATGAAACGGAGGAAGTATTTGTGTTTATACTGTGATCGTCTAAAAGGTATATCCTTTCTTCATGTAATCATGTTTCAGATAAAAAGCAGGGGAAGATGTTTATTTCTACCACATATCAAGTAAGGGCAGCTGTTGCTACGTCCATAGGTGTAGCTGCTGCCCGTGCTAAAATGCTTGCAGACCAGGAAGAACGGGAAATGGAGCTCCTAATGGCGTCCATAATAGAAACTCAGGTTAAATCTCTTGACCTATTCTTATTTACATCTGCGGGTATAGTTTAAGTTCGTAGTTCTAACACTGTTTATTCATCTGAAAGTTACATATCTGACACATCATGTACATTCCTGCAAACCATTTCAGTTCATGACTTCACTACCTGAACACTACCATAATTCAATCTCCTAGCTGTTTTTATGTTCTAAAAAACATGATATTGTTTAGAGAGGGATGATATCGCAAACATCGTGCTTAAACGGTTGGGGAATAAATATGCAGCATGTTCTTCTACATCAAATGGCAGAGCGGAGGGACATAACTCTTTTTTTAGTTCTGTTGTGCGAGCCATTTCCTTTCTATCTGTGTGACATATTGTAATGTGGCTAAAGGGAAGAGGTCCGTCTAGTTAAGTCTGTTCACCTAGATATCATTTTTAACTTCGTTCTGGATCCTGCAAAACCTGATGAATCATGATTCAAGTTATGGGTTTGATTTCTGCTGCTAGCTGAACTCCTACCATGGTGGCACAGCACATGCCCCTTCCTTTCACAGGGCTCAAAGAAATGAAATTCTTATTGCTACAAATTCACAACCTTATTCTTACACTATTACTGCTGTCTTGATGATTGTCTGACTGTTTTGTTTCGAAACGAAATAAACTCTGACAGACCTTATCTATACTTTCTGAATGTATTTCCTTAATGACCGACTGCTGTCTACTTTATGTTGACCAGCTAAAAAAGATCCAATACAAGATCAAACACTTTGAGGAGCTAGAGTTGATCATGGATCAGGAATACGCTACTCTACAGCAAATGAAGTCTTCCCTTGTCGATGAATGGCAAAAGGTCCTCAAGCGAGCATTTGAGACTGGAGTACCAATATCGAGGGATGAAGTGCTTATAAAGTTGTTCCAAAACAAGCCAAATCTGTAGAGAAATTGACCAAAGTCGGTTAGATCTCCATGAGGGAGCATTGGAGGTTGGGATATCTGTACTGAGGGATGTGCTGTTCGAGTAACATCCCTATTCCTTAGAGAAGTTGACTGGAGTCGATTATCCCTCCTCTGATCTGCCTCTCCATAGAGCAGTCATCTAGCAGTTTAACATTGTGGTGTCAGAGCGTGGCTGTAAATGTGCTGATTGAGCTTTGGGTTGATCTCAAAATTTTGCGTTTGAGATCACATCGATCCTCTGTAGTTTGTATCATCCTATGCGATTGCACGTGATTGCTCCGTTATACTATCCAACTAGGTTAGACAAGTAGTGTTGCTAATAGCTTCCTGTACCTGTCTACATTTCGTTGATTTCATTTGTTGGGATGTGCAAATCTTCCTCCAGCTGGGAGTTTCTGTATGTTCTATCACATTGTCTGATTGGTTACTTTGATAAATTGATAGCCATTGTATCTAGAGTAAATTTCATGTAACCTAAGGTGTTGAGTTTGTCACACAAAATCATGTGTTTTAACATCTGATATATTACTCTCGGTTGTACCCAGACTTTAACAAAACCACACTATGAAACAATTATTCTTTGACCCACAATAATTATGAGTTCTAAAATCGAATCTTAATTTTTTGACATTATTGATCTATTCTATAAAAAGTTTTATCCAAGTTAACCTTTTTCTTAAAAAAATCTCTACCTATATAACCATAATAAGCGGGGTACTGGGTTGTGGTTTTAGTTTTATTTTGAAAGTTCATAACACCCATACCCAGGTTTTATAAAATTTACTCCATGACAGTTCTGCACCTCTAAACTGTGAAAGTTTAATAAAGGAGAATTCTTTCTTTATCTGCGCAGCAAAGCCAGCAATTCGGTGTTTGGAGAATTGGAGCCATCCTGAACCGTTTAGGGTTTGATCGGACGGCTGGTATGGAATCTCACAGAAGGGCACCACCATTTTTCCCCAACGCGGAGCGGCGGAGGCGGCAGCCAAAAACCCCTCCCTCCTCCCCTCCTGGACTCTCGGTTTCCCCTAACCTCGCGCGCCACCTCTCCTCTCCTCGTCCTCCGCCTCCGGACGCGCAGTTCACGGGCGCCCTAATGGCGAAAAAGGGCAAGGCGGCGGCGGCGGAGGCCGCGGCGCCCGACGCGGGGGTATCGAGCCCGCAGGGCGGCGGCGGGGAGAAGGAGGGCAGCTTCCTGCTGGGCTCGCCGACCTGGGAGGACGCCGGGGGCGGGCGGTGGCGGTGCAAGGAGACGGGGCACGAGCTGCCGGAGCGGGAGAAGGAGGCGTACGGGCGGTCCCGCGCGTGCAGGCTCGCGCTCATCGACCAAGCCGTCGCGCGCAAGAAGCCGCCGCTCAACGCCTTCAAGCCTCACCCCGAGCACAAGTGCGTACTAGTACCGGAATCCGCCCCCATCTTGTGCCGCGCTACCCATCTATTATTGCCTTTGCTCTCGCGTTACGCACCAAGGCGTATCCCACGTATCGTGCTCGGAATTTGTTTATGCTTAATCTTGGTTTAATTGGTTATTTTGCTGTTTAATACGAGGGTTCTAAATTCTAGTGTCCAACGTTTGATCGTATTTTGTGAAATAAAGTTGGAAAAAAATCTATGTTCTTTTTAGGATGCAGTCGAGATGTTGAATCGAGTATGTTATGTTGTAGGTCGAAGCTTATATGCAATATTACTGGGGACATTATAAACAAGTCGGAGGAACACATCTGGAAGCACATCAATGGGAAGAGGTTCCTCAACAAACTAGGTAAATAATCCTGTAGCGTTATCTTATATGCAATGCCATGTGTGCCAACGGCCTATTGAACTTTGAACTGAGCTCTGCCTTTTTATATATCGAACTACTAATTTAAGAACCCATGAGGTTGACTATTTCCATGCGGCTATCATTTTCTTCATGCTGTATTCTTCTATAGGCATGTGATTTATCATCTACTAGTATGAATTTTCATCAACAATGATTCTGAGAGAGAAAAATAGTGATTGACATTGGATGAGTAGTTGGTACATTTTCTCAGAACAATTATGAACGGATTTCATCGTTAATGCTTATTCAAGTGGATGATGTGCCTTGCTTTGCAATGGTTATTTGAACTTTCTTATATTTGTTTTCCATTGTTCTGGAAATAATATCTTCCAAAGCAATTTGCATGGAATTCTTTTTTCCCACACAGATAGCCTTTCCATTGCATTGGAATGTTTGGTTGCTCCTATATTTAACATGTCTATTACTCCTATTTAATAGAAAAACTAGAAGAAAAGATGGCATCAGGTGAAATGGCCGAAGGTGAAGCTGAACAGTCAAATGAAGGGGAAAATAAAACCAAGTCAAGGAAGAAGAAGGACAAGAAGAAAGCTGCTGTTGTTAACCCTTCTTTGCCACGAGAACCTAAACCAGAGATTGATGATTCAGATAATTCTGATGATCCAGATTTCTGGGTGCCTCCTGTTGGAAGTCGTTGGGATGATGATGATGGAAAAGACCGATGGACCTCCTCTCCAGTGAAGGATAAGGATGATGCAGCAGAGGATGAAGGTGAACTTGGCAAGCTTTGCTTTTGTTTTATTTAACTGCTTTAACCTAACAAGCCTTAAAGCCATGATCATAACTCTTAGCACATGCGGGAGATATTGTTGCTGCTTTGCTTGAGATAGTATTGGTCTAATACTTTGTATTTATATATACTGAGTTCTTTAGAATATGAGAAACAGATTCGTATGCAGTTGTATGAATGCATGCGAGGTTCGAGAGTGGTTACATTTGATCTGCTCAATACTTTCAGTGGAAATCTTCCGCTTCTGAATTTTGTGATTAGCTTATTATAGTCTTTTGCTATTATAGATATTGAAATTTGAACTATATGATCTGGTATGTTCCATGTCTAATTTGGAATATGATAGATGGTGATGACGATGGTGATGACATGGCTGACAAGGATGACAAGGAGACAAGAGAAATTGCTTCAAGGTACTCTCGAACATTTCTTTCAATATTTCAATAGTGCATACAACATAGTTAAGAGATATTTTTTAATATAGCAGGACAAAGCGACTGTCAGTAGAAGCAGTTGGCCCAAGTAGCTTCGCTTCAAGGAAGAAAAAAACCAAAAAGGAGCAGTAAAGGTTGGTCCACAGCTTATCATCGAGTTCAATGAAGAACTTATTTGATCTTTCTGTGTGGACGAACAAAGTCCATCTTTGATTCCTCTTGGCTGGCTAGTCAGGTGCGGGTTTTGTATTAATTGGTTTGCTTTTAGTTAGTGCTTCTCTGTGTAGCCCTATCGCTGCACCTTTCAGTGGTATACTATTGCATGACAATTCTCTATACTTGCATTAGTTAATTCCTGTGATTTTGATGTGAGAATGAACTGTGCTACTTGTCCTATATTTATTCTTGCTATATAACTTCATATGTTTCTTTTGTATTACTTGTGCATTTGAGTACGTTTGATGGTAACATAAAATCGTTTAGACTCCTCGTAACTATTGGCTTTGTTTAAATTTATAAGGCATGCCTGGTTAAAATAAAACGATATCGACAGGATGGGCACCTGACATTAAGCCTGCTAATGGATTGGATGGAAATGGATTAATTGGGTTGGATTTTTATTTGGTTAGCTTTGGATTGGAGGGAAATGGGCTCGTGCGGTAAATGGATTGGTGCGGGTTGGGTGCACATACTGTTGGGATACGCGTAGGCTACGATAGCATAAATCAAAATTTTCTATCCCGTAAATCAGGAACCATGCAAGTATTAGATCATAGATCGTTACCACTCGACGTGCTGCGCAGCAGAAGAAGACGCTGAGAAGTCGAAGGAACTCTCGCGAAGTAGCGCGCGTCGATGTAGAGGAAGTAGTCGATCGCACCGGCTCGACCTTCTCCTCGTGCGTTCTCCTCACCGTACTTCCACGCCGATCAGCACCGCAAACCAGCGGCGCCTCTACCGGTATCCACACGCATAGGGACGGAACGCCACGCGTAGATGTGCTAGCATGCACGCGCGGCTAGGGTTTTGCTCGGGAAGGGAAGTGACGGCTAGGGTTTCTCACGTGATGCAATGCCTCCGCCGGTCACACCCCTCACGAATATATAGGATCCATCACTCGGGCCTCTAAGGCCCGTAGGACTCCTATTCGGATCCCTATCCGAATTAAGCTCATATTGGGTCTCTATCCAATCCCCTTATTCCGGCCCATTAAGCTTGCGACCCTGTAGGTTCATATATACTCGGTTGTAACCTAAAAACTCATTTTCGGTCCACGCGTCAACAGCGGCCCCTAGCAGAACGTATTGACCCACCGGGTATACATAAAGATCATATCGGCTGAACCTCTAGTGTATACTTGTATGAACCCCTTTGCCTCACGATATCGATTGAGCTCAAGGCTAAATATGTGACATTCTCTAATAGCTCAATCATTCACTCGAACTTGTTGATAGATTATATAACTTGTGATTGACTCCTCAATCACCTTTGGCATGGCCATGCACTTCCATAATCTACAACATCGAGGAGCCCAGAGATATCTCTCCATAAGAGGGGCAAATCCCATCTTGATTATTCATATCCCACTACATGTTTCATAGCATACCCGAAAACTACTTTTATAACTACCCAATTACGGAGTAGCGTTTAGCAGTCCCTAAGTAAGCTACTACATATGTTGAGAACCATGATAATCTCAGGTCTAAGGATTCAACACCAACACTCAATGAGATCACTGATAACACAACACATATGGCTCTTGCAGTGTCTCATGTTGGGTCTATCCAACAACATGTTCACCAACATGTGTCCACATTATTAATTTGGTATCTCTATACCATGATCCATGAGACATGATCATCAATTAATACATGTGCTGTTCATATAAACATATTTATTCTACATATAATATTTGATCAGGGATCCTTTAGAAATAGTAACAAACAACATAAAGAGTCTTATGAAAGAATCACATATTCATTAACCAATAAGGAGTTATCTATTTCAAGGAACAATGTCGGATAAATATGTAAACATAGTATATAATATAATCATCTCTATGATTGTCTCTAGGGTATATCACTAACACATACCAATTGGTTTGGAGTGGTTTGGTTTTGGATGTAAAATATTGGGGCAAAAATGGGTTGCGTCCATGGGTTCAAATGGATTCTAGGCAATAGCTTCGATCCAAATCAGTTCAGAACACACGGGCAGTCTCCACCTTCCTCTCTCCTGTTCGTCCTCATGCAACCATCCATACCTCCATGCTGCATCAAGCACTTGAGTATCTGCAGCCTGACGAGGATGAAATCGTAGCCGACGGCGAGACGGCGCCGAATAGCAGGTTGACGACGACGACGACGCCGCCGCCACCGCCCATCATCATGAGGCGCGCCGCCTCGGCAACGGTGGCCGGGTGGCGGCCTGCTCGCCCGTACGTCGTCGTCACTGTCACCGCCGCGTGCTCTGGCGGCTGTGCCCTGCGCTGCACGCCTACTGGCCGACCCGTCCACGTGCCGCCGCCGCAGCTGCTGGTACACCATCTGCTGCTACTGCATCGCCGCCGCCGCAGCCGCGGGGTGGTAGCCGTGGCGGCGGCGGCGGTGGTCTTCTCACTCTCGCCTCGCCATCTTGCTCCTCCAGTTTCACGGCACAACGGCGACGACGAGATCGTGGCGGTGGAGGGGGATAGCGCCAGCACGGGGGATGTGGGGCTAGGCGCGCCGCGCGAGTTAGCACGGGGCACTGCAGCCATGGTCTCCGCCACCTCCACGGCTTGATACGAAGTGGCGAAGCCTGCAAGTCTTGCACCGCACACGACGCACACGATTTGGGTTGAGTCCATGGATTGGAAATGGGTTGAGACCATTTGACAATAATGGATTGGGTTGGTTTGGTCCTACATCTTGCGCGGGTTGGATTGGTTTGGATTTTAGATGTGATGAAGTAGACTGAACTGGTTTGGTGAACTGTGTATAATGGAGATGGGGTGGGTTGGATTTGGATTGGATTTCTGCCCATTAGCAGGCTGTGACAAGTCGATTGACTGGACGAGGAATAGTAACCCTGCACATTGTGAAGTTCAGATGATGTTGCGAGGGTCCATTTTCAGCTTATAGGTTTATGTTAGCAGACCAGACCATGTCGCACTGAATTGCCATTTGGCTTACAAAAAGTGGGCAATGATTAATTATCTATTAGTAATGTGTTAACCAGGATAGAATCTCATTATGGTGTTGGCTTTATATCTTTGGTCGAAAAAAAAGGGGATATAATCTCATATTTTTCTTTTTCATACCATATTGAGTTTTGCAAGGGTTTTGTGCACCGAGGATTAGTTTAGATTACCAGAAATCAAATTAATGAGAGGATAATTTAGAACTCCATAGAATTCATCTGAAAATCATGCAAATTTCATGTAAAACTTGTGTTCCAAATTGACCTTGAGCCCCGCTCACACACGCCCTGCCGTGCACGTCGTGATACCTGTTTTTACCTGTCAAACCATTCACTTTCCTGTCATTTCGGCCTATATCGGCCTCTATGGTTTCCAAATTCCAAGTCTCCTGCCATAACCAAATAGCCCCCGATTGGCCAATCATTTAGTGATCGTCTATGTTGGTTGACTTGACTCGGTACAAGGTAAGCTGGAAACACATGAACAGTAGTGCAAGGTAGGAGCACGAAACACCCAGCCTCGCGGTTGCGGTCTCCGGCGAGTCTAGTATTCGGGAGTCTAGTTTTGGGGTGAATTCAATTGAGGTTGCTACAGTTTAATTTGTTTATTTTATCAATTGACGTGTTCATGCAATCCACAATTGATAAAACAAACAATTGACATGTAGGGATTGCATGAACACGCCATTGCCGGCTTCCGCCATCACCAGACACCAGCTTGCAGCCTGGCACTCGCACGCACACCTTTCTTCTTCTACATGGAGAGATTACATACGAGCCGTAACCACGTCTATGGCTTCATCATCATCCTCCTCCTCCTCGTACAAGCTACGGCCGCGGCCACCTCGCGGTGCCCGGCGCAACAGGCCGCCGCGCTGCTCCGGCTCAAACGATCCTTCCACCACCACCACCAGCCGCTCCTCCTGCCGTCGTGGCGCGCCGCCACGGACTGCTGCCTCTGGGAGGGCGTGTCGTGCGACGCGGCCTCCGGCGTCGTCGTCACCGCGCTCGACCTCGGTGGCCACGGGGTACATAGCCCCGGCGGCCTGGACGGCGCCGCCCTCTTCCAGCTCACGTCGCTCCGGCGGCTCAGCCTCGCGGGGAACGACTTCGGCGGCGCGGGGCTCCCGGCGTCCGGGCTCGAGGGGCTCGCCGAGCTCACCCACCTCAACCTCTCCAACGCCGGCTTCGCCGGCCAGATACCCATCGGCGTCGGCAGCCTGAGGGAGCTCGTGTCCCTCGACCTCTCCTCCATGCCACTCTCCTTCAAGCAACCGAGCTTCAGAGCTGTAATGGCCAACCTGACGAAGCTGAGGGAGCTCCGGCTGGACGGGGTGGACATGTCGGCGGCGGCGGCGGCGGCGGCCGGAGACTGGTGCGACGTGCTCGCGGAATCCGCCCCCAAGCTCCAGCTCCTCACCTTGCAGTCCTGCAAGCTCTCCGGCGCCATACGCTCCTCCTTCTCGCGCCTCGGGTCCCTCGCCGTCATCGACCTGTCATACAACCAGGGCTTCTCCGACGCGTCCGGCGAGCCCTTCGCCTTGTCGGGTGAGATCCCCGGCTTCTTCGCCGAGCTCAGCTCACTGGCGATTCTCAACCTCTCCAACAATGGCTTCAACGGCTCGTTTCCTCAAGGAGTGTTCCACCTGGAGAGGCTCAGGGTGCTAGACGTGTCGTCGAACACCAACCTCTCCGGCAGCTTGCCGGAGTTCCCGGCCGCCGGGGAAGCCTCCCTGGAGGTGCTGGACCTGAGCGAGACCAATTTTTCCGGCCAAATTCCGGGCTCCATCGGAAACCTGAAGCGTCTGAAGATGCTGGACATCAGTGGCAGCAACGGCCGCTTCTCTGGTGCTCTTCCTGATTCGATCAGTGAGCTTACATCCTTGAGCTTCTTGGACCTGAGCAGCAGCGGGTTCCAACTCGGGGAATTGCCTGCTTCCATCGGCAGGATGCGGTCACTGTCCACGCTTCGGCTGAGTGAGTGTGCCATCTCCGGCGAGATACCGTCGTCCGTTGGGAATCTCACACGCTTGAGAGAGTTGGATCTCTCACAGAACAATCTCACAGGTCAGTTTCAACTTTCTTGTCGTACACAAAGCACACAAAACTGCTATCTTGGAACTCCTTTTTAGATAGTTTTTGGGTTATGTTATTTGCAGGGCCAATAACCTCCATCAACAGGAAAGGGGCATTCCTGAACCTAGAGATATTGCAGCTATGTTGTAACTCCCTGTCAGGGCCAGTTCCAGCCTTCTTATTCTCACTTCCACGATTGGAGTTCATATCGCTCATGTCAAACAATCTAGCAGGTCCCCTCCAAGAATTCGACAATCCTTCTCCGTCCCTAACATCTGTTTACCTGAATTACAACCAGTTGAATGGATCAATACCCAGGTCTTTCTTTCAGCTCATGGGCTTACAGACACTAGATCTCTCTAGGAACGGCTTGAGTGGGGAAGTACAACTTAGTTACATTTGGAGACTCACAAATCTAAGTAACCTATGCCTGTCAGCAAACAGACTGACAGTGATAGCTGATGATGAACACATCTACAACAGCTCTTCCTCTGCATCACTCCTTCAACTTAACTCCCTGGGGTTAGCATGCTGCAACATGACCAAGATCCCTGCCATACTAAGGTCAGTTGTGGTGAATGACCTTGATCTCTCGTGCAACCAACTTGATGGGCCTATACCCGATTGGATATGGGCAAATCAGAACGAGAACATAGATGTCTTCAAGTTCAATCTTTCGCGCAATAGATTTACTAACATGGAGCTCCCTCTGGCTAATGCCAGCGTATACTATCTTGATCTTAGTTTCAACTATCTTCAAGGGCCTCTACCTGTCCCCTCATCTCCACAGTTCTTGGATTACTCCAACAACCTATTCTCATCAATCCCGGAGAACTTGATGTCAAGGTTGAGCAGTTCTTTCTTTCTGAACTTGGCCAACAATTCACTGCAGGGGGGCATCCCACCTATCATTTGCAATGCAAGTGACCTCAAATTCCTTGACCTGTCTTACAACCATTTCAGTGGTCGTGTTCCACCTTGTCTACTAGATGGACATCTGACCATATTGAAGCTGAGACAAAACAAATTTGAGGGGACCTTGCCTGATGACACCAAAGGAGGATGTGTTTCTCAGACAATAGACCTGAATGGAAATCAATTGGGGGGGAAGCTACCTAGATCACTCACTAACTGCAATGACCTAGAAATCCTTGATGTGGGCAACAACAATTTCGTGGACTCCTTCCCAAGCTGGACAGGGGAGCTACCAAAGCTTAGGGTTCTTGTTCTACGATCCAACAAATTCTTCGGCGCAGTGGGGGGAATTCCTGTCGACAACGGTGATCGAAACAGAACACAATTCTCTAGTTTGCAGATCATCGATCTTGCCTCAAACAACTTCTCTGGCAGTTTGCAGCCGCAATGGTTCGATAGCCTCAAAGCAATGATGGTTACAAGAGAGGGTGACGTGCGAAAGGCCCTGGAGAACAACCTCTCGGGGAAATTCTACCGTGACACAGTCGTGGTCACGTACAAGGGCGCGGCCACGACATTCATCAGGGTCCTGATCGCCTTCACGATGATCGACTTCTCCGACAACGCGTTCACCGGCAACATTCCTGAATCCATTGGAAGGCTCACCTCGCTAAGAGGTCTCAACCTGTCGCATAATGCCTTCACCGGAACAATCCCTTCTCAGCTCAGTGGATTGGCGCAGCTTGAATCGCTCGATCTCTCTTTGAACCAGCTTAGTGGGGAGATCCCAGAGGTGTTGGTGTCTTTAACTTCTGTCGGCTGGTTGAACTTGTCCTACAATCGTTTGGAGGGTGCTATTCCGCAGGGAGGTCAATTTCAGACGTTTGGAAGTAGCTCATTTGAAGGGAATGCCGCCCTATGCGGCAAACCGCTGTCTATTCGGTGCAATGGTTCGAATGCAGGGCCCCCTTCGTTGGAGCACAGTGAGAGCTGGGAGGCCCGGACAGAGACCATTGTACTGTATATTTCCGTTGGATCAGGGTTCGGTTTGGGATTTGCAATGGCCTTCTTGTTCCAAGTGTTCCGCGGAAAGTGAAAAATGAAGCTTGGTGGTCAATAATAAATAGAGGGAAACAACAATATGACATGCCTTACCTTTTAGTATACACCCATGATAAGTAATGTACATATAAGCCTATTCTTTCTATATTTTTAAAGAACTGTCGAGATAAACTTGCTACACTTCCGTTTTAACTGAGTTACTCTAAATAGTTAGACTACCATGAATAAAAGTTCTAATTTTATGGTTGATGCAATACAATTTGATAACATGGCATCCACATATTTAAGTATTTCTAATTTTTCAAGAAAGACCGAGAGGTCAAAACTTGAGGATGAATAGCTGCAATGTCAGTTTTTTTTTTAAAAAAAAAGAGATAGGAGTACAGTGTTTTATTCTCTATCACTAAGTTAAAGTTCATGAAACCTTGTACAATTTATTTGGCATGCATATAACCCCATCGGTAACGACCTATACTTGTCGGTACCAATCTCAGAGATACTCGGTGGCACCAAGCCTTATGCCGATCGGTGCAAGATCGATACCCAAATAACAAGCTTAGCACCTACAAGATCAGGGGCATCCCGGCCAAATTAGTCCTCGTGCGAAATGTTAAAATGGGGCCCTAGTAGCCCTAGTGCCCCTGCTCGGTGGTGTCCTGGTGAACTGTGAAGTTTTTTTGGCAGCCAATTTTCTCTGGAAGCTTCACCTTCTCTGTATTGCTATCCTTATTTACATATACATGACTAGATGGGCCCTCTAGCAGATGGGCCAGCACATAAAACACACACATACTGTTGTATTTACAGCCCAACACTCCCCCTCAAGATGGGTGATAGATATCTATCATACCCATCTTGTCACATGAACTATTACACTCTTTAACACCTAAACCCTTTGTGAAACAATCAGCAACTTGTCCACCAGACATTACAAATTCTAATTCCAAAACTCCCTCATCCAGTTTTTCCTTGATAAAGAAACGATCCAACTCCACATGCTTTGTTCGATCATGTTGAACTGGGTTGTTAGCAATGCTGATTGCTGACTTGTTGTCACACCACAATTTCATTGGAGTATCCACCGGCAACATCAACTCAGAAAGAAGATTCCTTAGCCATAACAACTCACTCAAACTCACTGACATTGCCCGATATTCTGCCTCAGCGGTTGAGCGAGACACCACCGGTTGCTTCTTGCTCCTCCAAGATACTAGATTGCCACCAACAAACACACAATAGCCTGAAGTTGATCTTCTATCATCAGGACAACTTGCCCAATCTGCATCACAATAGCCTTCAACCTCCAAGTGTCCATTTTTCTTAAACCATAGGCCTTTACCTGGGCTTCCTTTCAAATATCTCAAGATCCTATAGACAGCATCCATATGCCCACTCCTTGGATCATGCATATATCGACTCACCATACTGACAGCATAAGTTATGTCAGGTCGTGTATGACATAAATATATCAGTCTCCCAACCAGCCTTTGGTATCTTTCCTTATTCACTGGATTTCCAGACTCTGCACATAACTTATGATTTTGATCAACTGGTGTAGAGGCTGGGCGACATCCAAGCATACCTGTGTCACTGAGCAAGTCCAATGCATATTTCCGCTGTGAAAGAACTATCCCTCTAGGAGATCTTGCAATTTCAATACCCAGAAAATATTTCAACTGGCCTAGGTCCTTAACTTCAAATTCTTTGCTTAGATTTTGTTTCAGCCTAGTTATCTCCGAGCAATCATTTCCAGTGATAATCATATCATCAACATAAACAGCAAGAATGGTTATATGATCTCCACTATGATGATAGAAAACTGTGTGATCTCCATTACATTGTTTATAGCCCATAGCACACATTGCACGCCTAAATCGATCAAACCATGCTCTTGGCGACTGTTTGAGACCATATAAGGATTTCTTCAGTCTCAATACTTTACCTTTAGTTTGCAAAGTAGCAAATCCAGGTGGAATTTCCATATATACCTCCTCTTGAAGATCGCCATGTAGAAAAGCATTCTTGACATCCAATTGATGTAATGGCCAATCAAAGTTAACTGCACAAGATATTATAGTTCTTACCGTACTCATTTTTGCAACCGGTGCAAACGTTTCATCATAATCAATTCCATATGTCTGGCTATATCCCTTAGCCACAAGTCTTGCTTTGTACCTCTCCACTTTTCCATCCGGATTTTGTTTCACTGCATATACCCACTTACAGTTTACCACTTTCTTTCCATTGGGATAGGATACAAGATCCCATGTTTTGTTCTTCTCAAGAGCTTCTAGTTCATCTAGCATTGCTTGATGCCACCTTGGGTCTTGCTTTGCCTCTTTCCAATCCTTAGGAATTATAGCTGAATTTAGAGATGCCACAAAGGCCTTGTATGTCGATGACAAGGAAGTGTAAGATACATAATTGGCTATATCATTCTCATCACCACTTTCATCTCCAATTTCAAAACCATATCTTTGTGGAGGTTTGCCTGCATTGCTTCTCATCCCCTTTCTTATGGCAATTGGCAAGTTTGATTCTTCTTCTCTAATTTCTATTTGTTCTCCCCCTGACTCCGAAGACACTTGCACATGAGTAAGATCATCTGATACTTGATCATCAACTTCAACTTGTTGAGTTGTTGGAAGTCTCATTCTCCTTGTGTAAACTTGAAGATTTTCCTCTTCATGTGGCTTTCTCCATTCTTGTTCTTGTACAGGATCACCTATAGCACATGGAATTTCACCAACCACAATCTTTCCCTTTGATTGTTCATTCTCCTTGAGACCCAAGATTTCACCTTCCTTTTGTTGATCATGGTCACCTCTAGTTAAATCATCAAGATCAACAAATAAAGAGCTTATATCTGTTTTCTCACCATAGAATGGAACAGATTCCCTAAACGTAACATCCATACTTACAAATGTCCGCCGTTCTGATGGACTCCAACACTTATACCCCTTCTGGCTGGATGAATAGCCTATAAAGATGCATTTAACAGCTCGAGGATCAAGTTTCCCAATAGATGGTCTATGATCTCTAACAAAACAAGTGCAGCCAAACACCCTCGGTGGAACCACAAATTCATTCTTCCCAAATATCATCTCATATGGTGTCTTCATTCCAAGTATTCTTGATGGTGTGCGGTTGATGAGATAAGCTGCCGTCATTACTGCCTCACTCCATAGAAATTTAGGTACATTCATAGTATACATTAGTGACCGAGCTATCTCCAAAAGATGGCGATTTTTTCTTTCAGCCACTCCATTCTGTGGAGGAGTATCAGGACAAGAAGTCTGATGTAATATTCCTTCCAAAGAAAGAAAGTGACCGAATTCACTATTCATATACTCCCCTCCATTATCAGTTCTAATAAATTGAACCCGAGCATTAAAATGATTTTTAATATATGCATAAAAGTTTTGGAAGCATTTAAGCACTTCATCCTTATGTCTCATGAGATATAACCATGTCATGCGGGAATAGCAATCAATAAAGGTGACAAAATATTTCATTCCACTCATAGAAACCACAGGCGACGTCCACACATCTGAGTGGATTAGCATAAAGGGCAAAATACTGCGAAGTCCTCTACTCACATATGATGTTCTAGTATGCTTCCCATACTCACATGCATCACATATCAGCATATGTTTATCCACTTTACTAAACTCTACCGGGAACATTTTACTCATAATTTCAAAAGATATATGTCCTAGTCGACAATGCAAAAGTAATACCTCAGTCACTTCTTTACTTGTTGAAGCCATTAGTGCACACACATCCTCATTTGTCCCTCTTCTGTCCAAGTACCAAAGTCCATCACGCATGATACCAATCCCAAGTTTCTTCCCTGTTCTTCTCTCCTGAATTAAACAATTCTCACGATCAAGGAAAACCCGACAATCCATATTATCAACAAGAGAACTTATTGAAATTAAATTCACTGGAAAAGAAGGGACATATAACACTGATGACAAAGTAATGGATGGAGTACATTGCACTATGCCCTCCCCCTTAACCTGACATGATGTGCCATCAGCAGTTTGAATGGTCTCTTTGTGTGCAAATGAATATGGTTTATATGATGTAAATTCTCCACTCATGCCAGTGACATGCCTGGATGCACCTGAGTCTAATATCCAACTTGAATGAGAAGTGTTCATAGACATAAATGCTTGATTAAAACTACCTGAAGTAGAATGAGCAAAGTTGGCAACATTGTCAGGTGTAGTCCCGGAAGAACCCTCTTCTAGAGTAACTGCATTAGCCTTGTAATCACCTCTATATCCATAACCTCTTCCTCTATTGCTCCTACCAGCATAGCCTCTTCCACCTCTTGTTCCACCTCTATCAACACCTCTTCCTCTCCCATAAGTAGGCTTGCGTGGAGCATGACAATCACGCATAAGGTGTCCCATTTCACCACAATTGAAGCACTCTCTAGTCTCTTTACCTTGTACAATTGCATAGGTGGGACTTGGTGAACATGGTGCGGCACTAGGCAATACTTTCTTCTTAAGCTCCTCCTGTGCCATAGCTGCAATGGCCTCATCTAAGGTAGGAAGAGTGGTTTGGTGAAACATTGCATCTCTTCTTCCTTCGAACTCTGGATTTAGACCCTTCAAGAACTCAATAACCCTTCTACGCTCAACCCATTTCTTCATTTTTGCTATGCAATCAGAGTGCTCTAATCCAAGAGGATCATAATGATCTAAATCGGACCACAAACTCTTCAACTCTGCGACATATTCTGCCACAGAGCGCTCCCCCTGTCTCAAAGCACTTATCTTCTCTTGTGCCTCCACCATTAGCATCACATTACCTTCTCCTGAGTATAGTTTAGTAAGAGTTTTCCACATCTCACTCGCACTAGAGATAGTCTCAACAGTTGTAGCAATAGCTGGGATTAATGAAGTCAACAACCATGCCACCACTAAAGAGTTGGTAGTGCTCCAAGTCTTCCATTCTACACTTGATGTGTTCTCAGGCTCCTTCACTTCTCCTGTGACATATCCTTCTAACCCCTTTGTTTTTAGTATTAGTAATGCCCTCCTTGACCAACTCAAATAATTTTTGACACCCAACTTGATTTCGTTTTGCATTAACTCAATCTTCAGTATTGATTCAGTATGAGGGATAATTGCATTGCTTGTAGTTGAGGCCTCACTAAATTTTTTCGCTAGCATGTCCACCAATTTACCCATCACTTGTTCTATTCCTTGATTTTCTGCCATAATGCAAATTCTGAAACTGCAAACCAGTAGAAACCCAACTAGCAGATCTGAGCCCCCTGTTCTACCTTTCCCTTCCTATAGATTGCTCAAATAGTCAATATCACAAAAGCAGTAGCTGTGCTTTTACCTCGGTTTCCTTGCCAATCACACACCCACAAGAGATGCAAAGTCTTCACTGTGCTGTGACCCCGCCACTACAGAGCAAGAGCCACTTCTTCCTGAGGAGCACCAACACCAGCTGTTTACCAGCACTTTCTTTCTTGCCTCAGCCCAAAGCAGCTCTGCACCTGCGAGCTCAGCCCCAAGCAGCAGCAGCAGCTCCGCACCTGCAGCTGCTCGGCTTCTTCCTCCTCGACGCGCCGCGCTGGCCCCGCTCTTCCGCGCCGCTGCTGATGCGCACTCTCTACCCTGCTCAAGCCTCCACGCCTCCGGCCAGCTAGGGTTCAGCCGTCGCCTGCCGCCGGCCGGTCGGCTCTGATACCATGAAGTTTTTTTGGCAGCCAATTTTCTCTGGAAGCTTCACCTTCTCTGTATTGCTATCCTTATTTACATATACATGACTAGATGGGCCCTCTAGCAGATGGGCCAGCACATAAAACACACACATACTGTTGTATTTACAGCCCAACAAACTGGCATGTGAAGCAGCGCGGAGGCTGGAGGGGACTGAGGAGAGGAGACTTCGGAGACGCGGATGGCTGTACAATGGAAATTGGAAGATGGATCGTTTACCTTCTGCATTATTTTGGGCCTTAGTTTTACTACTATTTAGGCTGCAAATTAACAAAATTAAAGCCTCTAATATCTATTATATTATTAAAGGAATAGAAAAAGGAGCCTCCACGTTCGCTCTCATGGCCTAGAAATTCTCACATTAATCGGAGAAAAAGAAAAAACAGAGTCCATATAGAAATACAATTTAGAAATAGTTGAAATTCGGAATTAAAAATAAGGAATATTAGAAGTAGAGTATAGAGTCCATATAGAAATACAATTAGGATATAACTGAAATTCGGAATTAAAAATAAGGAATATTAAAAGTAGAGTATATAGTACATATAGAAATACAATTAGGAAATAACTAAAATTCAGAATTAAAAAATAAGGAATATTAGAAGAGGAGACTAGAGTCCATATAGAAATACAATTAGAAAATAACTGAAATTCAGAATTAAAAATAAGGAATATTAGAAGTAAAGTATGGAGTATATATAGAAATACAATTAGAAAATAACTGAAATTCGAAATTAAAGATAAGGAAAATTAGAAGTAGAGTATAGAGTCCATATAGAAATACAATTAGGAAATAATAGAAATTTGGAATTAAAAATAAGGAATATTAGAAGTAGAGTGTAGAGTCCATATAGAAATACAATTAAGAAAAAAAAATAGAAATTCGGAATTAAAAATAAGGAATATTAGAAGTAGAGTATAGAGTCTATATAGAAATGCAATTATGAAATAATAGAAATTCAGAATTAAAAATAAGAAATATTCGAAGTAGAGTATAGAATCCATATAGAAATACAATTAGGAAATAATAGGAATTTAAAACTAACTAAAATTTGGAATAAACGTAATAAAATTAAAAGTAGAGTTTAGAGTCCGTATAAAAATACAATTTATAAATAACTAAAATTCGAAATTAAGAAAAACATGGGAAGAAGAGTTTAAAGTCAATATAGAAATACAATTTAGAAGTAACTAAAATTTGAAATTAAAAATTAAAGAATATTAAAAGATGAGTTTAGAGTCCTTATAGAAATACAACCAGAAATAATAAAAATTCAGAAATAAAAATAAATAATATTGGAAGAAGAGCATAGAGTCTATATAGAAATACAATTTACAGAAAATTCGGAATTAAATATAATTAATAACTGACACGTATATAAAATACAATATGAATATTACATATTTGTATTTTCGTAAAGCTATTGCAAAATTTAAAATTATGATGTAATTTTAATATTTTTGAATAATATAATGAGAAAACATATATGCTATTATATAAAAGAAAATATAATGATGCTAGCCGCGCAATCTGCACGGGCCACCATGCTAGTTATTATATATTGGGTATACTTAATAGGGGCCCTTAAGATTTGGGGCCCTGTTTAGTCGCACAGTCCGCACTGGTACAAGACGCCCTGACAAGATACAATGCCTCTAATCCTCATCCTCTTTCACCTTCACATTACCAATTCATGCACTTCTCTCACCACCAAAGACGCACGTACTCATTTTTTTTCCTACTCCTCCAAGGAAAAAAACAAAAAAAGAATAAAGATAGTGATTGAATTGATGAATATGTGGACGGACGACAATACCGCCATGATGGAGACCTTTGCCTCTGCAGACCTTTACGTGGAGGTAGCTTCCATGCCGCCGCAGCAGCAGCAGGTGGTGCCAACAGCGCTCGCACCCACGGTGACGTTCAACCAGGACATGCTATTACAACTCCTCCAATTCATCATCAAGGTCCTATTAAGAATATACGTAAAACATTTTTTTAAAATTTTCTATGATAATTGTATACACGTAAAAGACTTATGTGTATAGGATACATTCCCGTGCAACCCATGGCAATTATCAACCGAACCAATTAACCATTCGATTATTTTGAGGGCGACCCATGCATTCGCGCCCCGTGGCCGGCCTGCGTTGTCTGATCTCGATCGCGATGGCCCGTGACGCGAGGCTTCCGTGACCCGGTTTGTCCAAGTTTACTCCGTACGTAGTAGTATATTTGTTGCCGTTGCCAATGGAACGGTACTCAGGCGGGGGCGGCCGGCTAGTTCCACACGCTGCCACCGCTTTGCCGAACCCGCGCGTCGATCGTTCGTGCACGCGTCTCGCATGCATCCTCCACAAACTCCGGCCGTATTCTGCACGTTGATGTTGGCCTCTGGCGGTCCAACAACAGCGCTGCCCCAAGCCATCCAGATACGGCCATACGGGAAAACCAATGGCGATCGGCGACCGGGACGACCATCCGTTTATCTGTACCTTGAAGGTGACCCGTGCGCACGACGCTCGCCGCCGCTTCCTGTACTGTCTTTACCCAATCCTGCACCGGAAACAGGAGAGAGAGAGAGAGAGAGAGAGAGAGAGAGAGCTAGTAGGAACCGGATTAACTTCACGACGGCTTCCATATGCTCCCCGTTCTAGCTGGCCCTCTCTGTAATGTACTACCAGTAGTACTGTCATTTCTCACCAGGACGGCTACACAGCTACTGCGTTTATCTGAGCTGGAAGTAGGAAATTCGGGAACCCACCGAGCTTAAATTTTTACAGTATCACTTTTGATAACTAGATATATACTCCATAGTAATGATACTCCGTAAGTTACATGCCTGCATCGTCAATGAGCATCTCTGTTACTCTTGCTCTTGGTGGCGATGAGCACGAGAGGGTTCTTCTTGCGCACCGCCAGCCCGTTCTCCTCCTCCACGTCCACCTCGCGCCCCGGCAGCGCGCGCCAGTCGAAGCAGAAGAGGAGGTTGGCCAGCAGCAGCTCCGCCGCCGCCGCCGCGAAGTGCACGCCGGGGCAGCTCCTCCGCCCGATCCCGAACGGCACCAGCGCGAACCCGTCGTGCTCGTGCTGCTGCTCGCCGTCGGCGTCGTGGGCGCGGTGGCGCTCGGGCAAGAACCGCTCCGCGTTAGGGCCCCAGACGCCGGGGTCCGTGTGTATCGCCATCGCGTTGATGACGACGCGCGTCCTGGCCGGTATCTCGACGCCGTGCGCCGTGCGGAACGGCTCCGTCGTCTCCCGTTGCACCAGCGGCGACGCCGGGTGGAGCCGGAGTGTCTCCTTGATGACCAGCCGCAGGTAGTGGAGCTCCGGGAGGTCGGCTTCCCGCACCATGGCGCCGTCCTTGTCGCCGCCGCCGCCGCCGGCGATGACGCGGCGCACCTCGTGCTGCGCCTTGGCGAGCACGTCCGGGTTCCTGACGAGCTCCGTCATCGCCCACTGCACCGTCACCGCCGACGTGTCGCTCCCGGCAATGAACATATCCTGCAAGACCACACAATTCGGTTTCGATCGATCAACATGTCCAGGAAAACTGGGAAGCACCAGCGGCGTGGTGTTGGAGTCCTGGGTGCATGACTCCAGTTCATCCACTCAAGTTCAAATCCTAATGCTCACACGAATTTTACACAGACGTAGAGGGGAAATTGTTTTAAACACTCGGGTAGACGTCCACCCGTTTCTTGTATGGCATTTAAATGGTTATGAAAAATTTTCAAAAGAAATGACATGATAGGTTAATATGTAATATATCATCTCATAAATATGCAAGTTCAAATTTGGCGTCTACAAATTATAATAAAAATAACAAATTTAACTGTGAATATACGTATACTAGTTAGAGTTTAATTTGTTGTTTTTGTTACAACTCGTAGTAGTCGAATTTGAACTTACATGTTTGTGAGATGATATATTACATGTTAACCTATCTTATAATTTTTTTTCGAATTTTTTCATAATTATTTAGGCGGCATGCAAGAAACGGGTGGACGTCCACCCGAGAGAATAGGGCAGTCCCAACCCATAGTGTCTATAAGTAGTGTCTATGATGTCATGTCAATAAGACATCACAATAGAAACTATACTCTACAACCCATGGTTTTTTAAAGTGGGACATTAATAAATACATCATCTTTCTTCTCTACTAATCATATTTACTCTTCATCTATTATGAAGACACTATTCTCTCCCAATGCAAAACTTGATAGTGTCTATTGCATAGATTCTCGTGTTGAAGCTGTGTCTTGCATGAGACCCAGTTTCTTCCTCTCTTCACTCTCTCTCTTAATTAATATAGTGTCACATAAGCAACAAGTTTTACATGGTAATGTAGTTAATGCTATAGACACCATAGGTTTCGATAAAAATTTAATGAGATGTGAAATGTGTAGCTAGTTTCCGTCTACGAGTTAGGAGACATATCCGCGCGGTGTGAAAGTGGTGCGCGCGCGCATATCGCGTCTTCCCTATGTCCAGGAAAACGTATATCACAGCGTGCTATGCTCTTGTCCAGGTACGTAATATGTACACGTACCGTGAGAATGCCTTTGATGTGGGTGCGGCTGCCGAACATGCTCCGGTGAGCCGGATCGCCGTGGAGGCGGAGGAGCACGTCGACCAAGTCGTCTTCCTCGTCGGATGCATGCTTGCGCTTGTTGATGTGGTCGTCGATGACGCGCTCGTAGAATGCGTCGAGCTGGCGGAACCGCCGCTCCAGCCGCCGCCTCATGCCGCTGAGGGTGTCCACCCACCGGAGCCACGGCACGTAGTCGGCGACCCAGAGACCACCAAGAAGAGACTGGGTCTCGTCGAGGACAGCCTTGACGTCCATGCTCTCGTCGCCGTCGCCGTCGCCGAAGGCGACGCGCCGCACGATCCTGCTGCTGGTGGCAGCGACCATGTCGCTCAGGTTGACGGGGGAGGCGCCGGCGGCCGCCACGGCCGCGATGAGCGCGGCGGCCTCACGCTCCCTGGCGTCGCGGAGCTCGCACACCCGCGGCGCCCCGAGGAGCGCCGACATGCACGCGCGGCGCGCGGCGCGCCAGTACGCGCCGTCGGGCGCGAAGGAGATGTTCTTCTGGCCGTAGGAGAGCCTTGTGGCCGCGTACAGCGCCGGGCGCCCCGACAGCGCGCGGTCGTTGTTCCGGAACAGCGCCCGCGCCGCGTCGGCGGTGGAGACGACGAGCGTCGGCACGGAGCCGAGGCGGAGCAGCATGAGCGGCGCCGCATGCCTGGCGGCGAGCGCGGCGAGGGAGCGGTGCGGGAGCGCGCCGACCTGGTGGAGGTTGCCGATGAGAGGGAGGCCCTTCGGGCGTGGCAGCGACGGTGAGGCGGCGCGCTTCTTGGACGACGGCGCGAGAAGCTGCTTGAAGAGGAGAATGGTGGCGAGGAGGAGGAGGCATGACGCAAGGAACTCAGGAGCTTGGAGAGACGCCATGGACATTGCTGTCTTGGTTGTTCTCTAGCTTGTCTCTAGGGCGGCTGAGTTTATCTATCTATATATATGTCATGTCAGGAGGAGATATCTTAGGGCATCAACAATGTATCCTTACCAAGTAGTAAGTAAGTAAGGTTGGACCAACCAAAAGCAGAAAGCAGGTAATTGTTATTCAAGGTGGGTCCCACATGTATATAAATATAAATATAAAGACGTAGTGACGACGACGACGCCGTCACCAGCAGCAGCCGCCGCTGCCCACGGCCGTGCTGGCCCGCGTCCCCCTTGAGGAAGGGACCGACTTCGCCGCTGCCGTCGCGCGCAAGGGCTCCGGCTGCTACGTCCTCGTCGTCCTCTGCCGCTCCCGCCATCCTCGCCGAAAGCCGGAATGGTGCCGCCCGAGTCGTCACGCGCGCCGCCCATTCTCCCCGTCGGCCGCCGCTCGTCAGTCGTCCTCCCCATTGGTCGCCGCCCGTCCCGACACCCCTTCTCCCCGCCGGTCGCCGCCCGTCACGCCATCCTCCTCGCCGGCAGTCGCCCATCTCTTCGCCGCCTGTTACGCCGTCCACCCCACCGACCGCTGCTCGTCTCGGCGCCTTGGCCGCATCTACTCCTCCTCCGGCGGCCACCGCCGCACGCCGCCCCTTCTCCCCGGTGACCACCGCCTGTCGGCCATCGCGCCTGATAGAGGAGAAGAGAGAGGAGAGGGGGAGAGAGACGAAGAGAGGGGAGATGGGGATCGAGCGAGGAGGAAGAAGAGGGCAGTGAGATTGACATGTGGGGCCCACATGGCCCACCTTTATTAATTATTGTTTTTATGTAACTGACCTATGGGTCCCACGGGTATTGTTTTTTTCTCAAATCGAGTTGTCACTTAAGCGCCACATCAGTGCCACGTAGCATGGAGACCTAGTTAAACTAGCCACGTAGACACCACGTCAGCCAAAACCGCTATGTGCCGGTTTTTGTAAGTTTGGAGACGGGTAGTATCCGGTTTTGGAGTTTAGGGATGAAAATCGGACTGGGCGACGAATAGAGGGACTTAAAGTGAACTTATTCCTTTGCCGAACCCGCGCGTCGATCGTGCGTGCACACGCGTCTCGCAATCCTCCACAAACTCCGGCCGTATTCTGCACGTTGATGTTGGCCTCTGGCGGTCCAACACCAGCACTGACCCAAGCCATCCAGATACGGGTACGGGCCGGTTGCGCCTGCGTTTCCTACCTGATCGCGACGGGAAAACCAATGGCGATCGGCGACCGGGACGACCATCCGTTTATCTGTACCTTGAAGGCGACCCGTGCGCACGACGCTCGCCGCCGCTTCCTGTACTGTCTTTACCCAATCCTGCACCGGAAACAGGAGAGAGAGAGAGAGAGAGAGCTAGTAGGAACCGGGGCAACTTCACGACGGCTTCCATATGCTCCCCGTTCTAGTTGCTTGTACCAGTAGTACTTTCATTTCTCACCAGGAAGGCTACACCCTCAGTCCCAAAAAAGAATTAAACTCTAGGGATGGATGAGGACTGCCGTTTTTGTGAAAGTTTGGGGACGCAAACGCAACCCATTGGCTCTTGGCAAATGCAACAGTCAGTGTCATCATCTTTCTGAGGGCGACATACGTACCCATCCGATCCGGAACGACCGAGACCGTTCCAGAATCCAGAGTCCGTGGCTTCTGCCTTATGTGAACTTGTGGTATCTCAGTACGGATACGTCTGAGCTCCGTCTTGATGGGAGCAGCATTAATAAACTTTCTTACTGATGATTTAGTGCTTAGAGCTTCTTCAGTTTTTGCTGAAATCAACCTAACCGATATTTAGCGTTACCAAATTTTGGCACATTTTAATGTTGTCAAATTTTCATAGCATTAGTTGCATTTAGTTTGTAGCCCTATCAAAATTTGGTAGTGTTTATATAAGAAGAAACTTTTGAAATGCTAAATTTTGGTAGAACAGCAATGCAATAATTTGTTTAGTTTGTTAGAATGCGGTAACAAAGTGAACATATCCTTATAATACTATCAAGAAAATTTTATAACCCTTGAGAAAGTATCTCAAGATAATAATACCTTTTGCACATGTTGTATGTACCTTTTACACATGTTGTATGTACCTTCTGATAAAATTACCCTACCAGCAAGGTTACATGTCTGCGTCGTCAATGGCCACCTGTGTTCCTCTTGCTCTTGGTGGCGATGAGCACGAGAGGGTTCTTCTTGTGCACCGCCAGCCCGTTCTCCTCCTCCACGTCCACCTCGCGCCCCGGCGGCGCGCGCCAGTCGAAGCAGAAGAGGAGGTTGGCCAGCAGCAGCTCCACCGCCGCCGCCGCGAAGTGCACGCCGGGGCATCTCCTCCGCCCGATCCCGAACGGCACCAGCGCGAACCCGTCGTGCTGCTGCGCGCAGCCGTCGGCGTCGTCGCGGTGGCGCTCGGGCACGAACCGCTCCGCGTCCGGGCCCCAGACGCCGGGGTCCGTGTGTATCGCCATCGCGTTGACGACGACGCGCGTCCTGGCCGGTATCTCGACGCCGTGCGCCGTGCGGAACGGCTCCGTCGTCTCCCGTGGAACCAGCAGCGGCGCCGCCGGGTGGAGCCGCAGTGTCTCCTTGATGACCAGGCGAAGGTAGTGGAGCTCCGGGAGGTCGGCTTCCCGCACCTTGTCGCCGGCGGCGACGACGCGGCGCACCTCGTGCTGCGCCTTGGCGAGCACGTCCGGGTTCCTGACGAGCTCCGTCATCGCCCACTGCACCGTCACCGCCGACGTGTCGCTCCCGGCGATGAACATGTCCTGCAAGACCACACATTTCGGTTTCGATCGATCAAAATGTCCAGGAAAACGGGGAAGCACCAGCGGTGTGGTGGTTGAGTCGTGAGTACATGACTCCAGTCTATCCACTAAAGTTTAAATTCTGATGCTCAAATTTTACACGCACACAGAGCTTTCGACCGACCGAAATTTAGTGAGATAAGAAATGTGCCGCTAATTTCTATCTCTTAGTGTATGTGTTGGGAGACGTATTCGTGTGGGGTGTGAGTGTGGTGCGCGCATATGCGTCTTCCAAAACATGTCCAGGAAAACGTATATCACAGCGTGCTATGCTCTTCTTGTTCATGTACGTAATATGTACCGTGAGAATGCCTTTGATGTGGCTGCGGCTGCCGAACGTGCTCCGGTGAGCCGGATCGCCGTGGAGGCGGAGGAGCACGTCGACCAAGTCGTCTTCTTCGTCGGATGCATGCTTGCGCTTGTTGAGGTGGTCGTCGATGACGCGCTCGTAGAGCGCGTCGAGCTGGCGGAACCGCCGCTCCAGCCGCCACCTCTTGCCGCTGAGGGTGTCCACCCACCGGAGCCACGGCACGTAGTCGGCGACCCAGAGACCACCAAGAAGAGCCTGGGTCTCGTTGAGGACAGCCTTGACGTCCATGCTCTCGTCGCCGTCGCCGTCGCCGAAGGCGACGCGCCGCACGATCCTGCTGCTGGTGGCGGCGACCATGTCGCTCAGGTTGACGGGGGAGGCGCCGGCGGCCGCCACGGCCGCGACGAGCGCGGCGGCCTCGCGCTCCCGGGCGTCGCGGAGCCCGCGCACCCGCGGCGGGCCGAGGAGCTCCGACATGCACGCGCGGCGCGCGGCGCGCCAGTACGCGCCGTCGGGCGCGAAGGAGATGCTCTTCTGGCCGTAGGAGAGCCTGGTGGCCGCGTACAGCGCCGGGCGCCCCGACAGCGCGCGGTCGTTGTCCCGGAACAGCGCCCGCGCCGCGTCGGCGGTGGAGACGACGAGCGTCGGCACGGAGCCGAGGCGGAGCAGCATGAGCGGCGCCGCATGCCTGGCGGCGAGCGCGGCGAGGGAGCGGTGCGGGAGCGCGCCGACCTGGTGGAGGTTGCCGATGAGAGGGAGGCCTCTCGGGCGTGGTAGCGACGGCGAGGCGGCGCGCTGCTTGGACGACGGCGCGAGAAGCTGCTTGAAGAAGAGAATGGTGGCGAGGAGGAGGCAGGACGCAAGGAACTCAGGAGCTTGGAGAGACGCCATGGACATTGCTGTCTTTGCTGTTCTCTAGCTTGTCTCTAGGGCGGCTAAGTTCATCTATCTATACATATGTCATGTCAGGAGGAGATATCTTATTTGACTTGTACTGTTCTATCATAAATTCAGAATTATTGGCGGTGTTTAGTTCCCTTCAAACCTCCTAAATTTTTGTCACATCAAATATTTAAATACATGTATAGAGTATTAAATGTAGAGGAAAAAACCAATTGCACAGTTTACATGTAAATTGCGAGACGAATCTTTTGAGACTAATTACGCTATGATTTGACAATGTGATGCTACAGTAAACATTTGCTAATGACGGATTAATTAGGCTTAATAAATTTGTCTCGTAGTTTATAGGCGGAATCTGTAATTTGTTTTGTTATTAATCTATATTTAATACTTTAAATGTGTGTCTGTATACTTAAAAAAATTTTGTCACACGAACTAAACACGGCCATTGTCTCTTTGTTTGCTTATTTGCTGCAGTTAAATATTAATTTTTGAAATATAGTTTTAATTTACATTTGGGGTTTTTTTCTTAATCATAACCAATTTTTCAACTTGGCTTTTAAACAGCCAATATATTTTTTTAATACCCAAAATACTTGCGTACGTTTCGTATTAAGAGAGGGAAGTTGTAAACAGCCAATAATAGAAGTTTTCTTCATAAATTTTCTTTGATTATTTTGTTCATATTTCCGCTGCCTCTTTAGCTGTGGCTCAACCGATAAGAGTTTATAAGCATTATCGTTTTAATTAGTTAATGCACGAATGATGTACTCCCTCCGTTCCAAATTAGTTGTCTTTCTACCATTCAAGTACTATTTATCCCATCAATCACACACATTCAAATTTCTTTCTTTTTTAGTACCCCTCAACCACCCTTCTAGATTGGGATTCGGTGACATTCCCACGTGACATTCTCGGTGACATTGAGTTACTGACAGGTGGGTCTAGGCACAGACCCACCTACTCGCTAGTGACTGCCAAGTGCTAACTACTTTTGTTTAGGATCAGAGCAACATGAAATCTTCATTTCTTTGTCGATGTAAACGTAGCAGGTTTAATCTTTCGATGACATGGAAAAGATAATACAAAAATGAAAAGAAAACGAAATGCTGACAGCTTTGACTTTTGATAGTGTTACTTCATTTATACTCCATAAACTAAAACAGAAAAAAGGGTTGCTGTAAAGTACTCTACGTCTGTTTTTTAATAAATGACACCGATAGTTTTTTTTTTTCCTTGAACTAAAACCAACAATATTTATTCAATTAGTTATTTAATTAGAGCGAAAAAAATACCAGTACATTCGTCATCAAAACACTTTACACATGTCTAGTATGTTTAATCTATTTGCACAAATATTCCTAGAAAAAACATGGATAGTAAACAAATTTAAAAAGTCAACTCAATCATATATTAAGAATCGGAGGTTGTAATTGGTAAGAAAGGTAATGGGATGACTGGAGTATTCAAGATTCAAAATGCAAACTGTATTCCTTCCGTAAAAGCTAAGCACGAATTTGAGAGGTTGATTTCTCATTTGAATTCATGCGTAACACAGTAGCATGTGGTCTGCACACGATTCACACCAATTGATGGCTTGATGTTACAGTACCTTCCAAGTCTTTTTCTCCCCTTATACTAGCAGGTTAGCAGGTTTTCCTTCCAACAGTAAACGATAATTGTTGTTACATGTACTACTCCAACAGTAAACGATATTCGATATTTTGGAGTACTATTTACTCTCTGCTCCAATGAATAAATCAGGACATCAGGTGCGCCTCTTATATACTCCTATATAAAAGAAAGCTCAGCAGAGAGAATTAGTATAGCAACTCATCAGTAATCATTGGCTCATTGCAGGAGCAAGAACCATCTTTGAAGTGATTGAAATCTATTCTTGCCACGCACAACAATCTCCCTGTTGTACACCTTTGTGGTAGAGTGGCAGTCCAAGCACACTCTCAGATTCTTGGATAACTGAATTGTTGCACCGAGACGCAGTTTCATCAGGCTGAAGGCAATGGTCAACTTCTTGCTGTGATGTGTAACGGAGGCTTCCTTCTCATTTTGATCAAAGTCGAGCCTTACATCATCTGTACCTGGCCATAATGATACTTACAATCATCTCCTCAGCTTTCGCATATATCTCCGTCATCAGCTGGGGGTGGGGGTGGGATGGTCACTGTCTTCAGCGAAGAACTCAAAGAGAATGCACCCTCCAACTCAATGGGAATGCATCCTGGATCAGTCCAGTGTGATTGACTAATTGGGTCCAGTGGATGCCTCAGTGCATCTTGCATGTTACTATCAACATTTGTGTGCACTGTGCAGGCAGAAACTAGTGCACTCCAAATTACTGCATTTGGCTCTACCGCATGGTTTTGATAAACTGATATGCCTCATCGATCAGTCCAGCCCGCACTAACAGATCAACCATACAGCCATAGTGCTCGATCCTTGGCTGGCGCCATAATCCCGGGTCATTGCTAACAAAATGCCTGCGATCCTACTCATCTAAGCAGCTGTGAACTGCAAGACAGGAGAACACCAGTGAATGCCACGTCCGTGGGCTTTAACATTGGCCTCACACATGGATGAGAAGAGCCCCGGTGTTCCTCTGAGTTCCTCACAGGCAGCCACCAACTTTGAATGCTTATCTGCATTGTCACTGCATCCACACTTCGCATATAAGTCCACCAGTGCACTGCCAAGTCCAAGAACAATGGTAAGAGGAAGACCCTTCCTCCTTATGTACTACTGACTTACAGTAGCCTCATTTGGGTTCAGCAACAGCACGGTAGTCTGCATCTCAATGAAAAGAGTAAGTGCCTCCAGACATAGGCCCGTATGTGCGTAACTGTGTATCCAGAGATCATTGCAATCCAAACAGAGCAAATGCAACCACATCACACCACTGCATACCTGTATTCCATCGAACAACCTCGGCGCCTTGTCAAGAAAACTCAAGATCACCATACGTCCGCCATTGCATTCTTGAAGTGTCCCCGCAACCATTGTATTTCACGTGACCGCACCGTTGTCCTCCATGGCGTCGAACTGCACCAAGTGATGCCGTGACATCCCCACAGCCAGCAAACGATCAAACATGAGCCCATGCTTG